TGATCCAGCATTGCAATTTCAGCTGAAACTGAAAATCATTCCTTAGGCCAGATGGCTTTGGGCAGCCGAGTTTTGGGCCATCACTGAAAACGTAAGTGGAGTGGATGACGTTCAAAAGTTCACAGCAACCCAAATAGTGGCTTAAATGTTATAATCGTGGTGTAAAATGAAGTTGTATGGACCTGCTGGCGTCAATGTTGCAGGGATGTTTGGTGTAAATGTTGGTCGACACGGTCGGTCAGTGCTAACGCAGAGAATGAAACGCAACTCATCAAGGAAATAACTGGCTTTGTTGGGGAAACCGACAGATGGGTGAGCGGCTGGTTTATTTCTGATACGGAGCTTCTGAGAAGACATGATGGGACAGTCAAGATTATGGAGAGAATGGTTGGGAGCCTGCCATCAGACTTGGTATGGATGTACCACGAACTTCTGCATTGAACTAGTTCGGTTTCTGGATAAATTTTGACCCCATCGTTTCATTTACGCTTTGCACCTCACAATTCCTCTTCGTCTGCTAGACCTAACACACTTTCATGAAACCTGTTCCTGGAACTGGACACATAAAATATAGGGGCCTTATTACAGCTTCATTACTAGCATTCATATCTAGAGCCAACTGGAAATTTCTGCCATATAGCGCTCGTCGTTTGTAGCTGACGGCAGTGGTCCAGTGACTGGTGACCCGGTATCTTAACTTTCTGTTCTGTTTACGTCTTAACTCCCTGTTAATCTACGATCCTCATCCACTATTTCGGGTTGTCCAAACACACCACAGTGTGTGTGCGCCATACGAGTTGGGAAATAAGCCGATTATTTTTGTTCTCATTATGTGGTAACTATTCCTTATCTGTCCGCTGTTCCTTTTTCATGCTCAGTATCTTCTTTTTCCCCATTATTATCAGTCACATCGCTGTACAAAAGTTTGTTTTACGGAAACACAACTACTACCGCCCGGTTGTTGGCTCCAACGTGACTTTGAGACTTTTACTGAGTGACTGTTGTTGTGACCGCCGGAAGGCTATATTTGACTGCTGCTAACACTAAACGTGAACACAAATTTTAGCCACAAACACTGGACCAATATATCCACACTTGTAGATTAATATTTCGATCACCGGAGATCTGGAATTCCAGGAAGATAGAACTACTCCTGGTGTGGTAATTCAACGGAATACGGAACTACGGAACTATGAGTCAAGATTTACTTGGATTTTTCTCCTTGTGACTTTGTAGCTGACTTATATTAGTAATTTGTTCTGTTCACTAGAGACTCCATAGGGCCGTTTACAACTACACATTCACAATGGCTGGTTCTATGCACTGAAAATTCTCTATGATTGGTCTCTGAAACTGAGGTAAAAACGACCACCGTCTTATGTCCAACTCACACTGAAACGGCCTTTGTCAGCTAGACCAGTGATTGCTCCCCCTGCTCCTCATAACCTCGGCTTGCTCTCTGCCTTCCTGATACTACGCAGCTTCTCTGGCGTGGGCAATACGCCTGCAGAAATTAGATGATTACTTGCAGCCACTTAAAATTGTTTCCCTGATACCAACAGCCGCTGACGAGTTCGTTCTAATTGGATGTACTCTTCGTTCGGATAAAACATCAATGACACTATTATTCCAGCCTGCCTCACCCTTAACTTTAAAGATTATAATTACGGTGCTCCAATGGCGGCACACATTAGTACGAAATCTCCCTCTGCAGAAAATATGTTACATCTGACTCCATTCCAAGGGCAACATAAGCAATTCCACCAAGCGTCAGTAAATTACCATTTACCTTCACTTCATCGTCACCAGTTACACGTTTTGTGGCCTTGGCCATTAATTTAAATATCCAAGATCATTGAGGGTTACCAGTAGTTTCTAGTTGTAGTACAAGTTGAACGCCTTCACCAAAGAAATAGCCGCTCCCCCGGCCATTCCTCTCTCTCATTGTTTTCCACAATTAATAACTATTTATCAAATAGCACATGTAGATGACAGCTTACTAACAATATGCTCCCGTTCCCAATCACATGTGGAAGCCAATCCCCATATTTGCTCCCCTTGACCAGATGAACTGGAACCTTCTTGCTTTACTGAACTATTTTTGTGACTCTTACGGACTTTGGTCGGACATTGTGATTTTTGCGGTTGCTCGACGTTGATATCTGTTTCGTTGTGACGATATCGATTTTGAGGCGAAGTGATCTGCGATTTATCCTTAGGCTGGTGATTGTACAGCCTCAATTTGTAACCCTACGGTATATGCACAGGAGAATCCGATGAGGTTTTTTGCATGTGTGTATTATTATCTTTGCGATAGTACCGTGATTCCAGAAATAGGATTTCTTGGTCGTTTTCGTGGATTGGTATGCGTGACCCAAGCTCAAAAAGCAGATAGCCGTAACAGCACATATGATCGCTTCGTTTCGCCTTCCCCTTCGTTACGTCCGATGCGTAATGACCCGATCACACCTCAGCTTGTATGCTCGCTGCACTTTGGGAAATAAACCAGGCGAAGTTACTTGGGTTCCATTAATCTCATCTTGCTTCCACTCACTGACTTACCAAAAATCGTCGACATAAGGGTACCCATTTACCCCAGCGACCGCATTTTCGGTGGATCTACTACTTCAATCTAAACTAGTCAGATTACTGGTTCTTAGTTTTTATTCTTCAGACTGCGTAGCATGCGCATTCGGTAGTCTTTTGTACCTTAAAATCCCAGTATGTGTGCATCCTAATACCAGCCAACAGCTGTTGAAGACTAGAAGATTATTCCATCTTAGATTTTCCAATTTGGGCCTAGATCAAGGGCCCACGTAGTGGCGAGCTTCAAATTTTCTCGCCCTCTGGTCTACAATTCCATATGGACTTCCAAGAACCCTTTGCCTCCTGATAACCTCTCAACAATTCTGTCATTTTCTCATTTTCATTTGAATTGTTTGCACACGGTGCATAACAGAACCAGCGAAATCTATATGAAGTTGTCGGTCTACTTAAATTCATGTCCTGAAAATGACAATCTTTTTAATGAGCTTAGTTAGATCATCTATCTTATTTGCGCCTAACACAATACCATCCACATTGACAAATGAATAATTCAGCTCCAGAATATTGTGGGAGCAAACTTTCCCGAGGTCAGTAGCGTTTATCTGAAAATTATTCCAGCCCGAACTCCCGAACGACGACATTGATGCTGCAGCTCATCGGGAGAACTTGTGAGCAGTAACTGGAGCACCATAACTGTCTTAAACATTTCCAGAGTTGAAGTCTGACTATAGATCCGTTTCGGAGTAAACCGACGGGTTTCTGCGACAGCGAAACATGTCTTAAACAATGAAGAAGTTCCTACCATCATGAGCCCTCACGACGTATGCGAAAATTTAGTTAAAAAGACCAAACGTATGACAAATTGAGGTAACGTTCGACTGAATGAGTCAGCTGCAAAAAAACCGCGACCACCAAAACAGTATCATAATGAAAAGCAATCGGCAGAATGCATGTCAAAGAGCCTTAGGCCTGTGACGGGCACCGTTACGCCTCTGGATTCCTTGATAAATCGAAAACGAACAAGGAGCGCAACGAGGCGGAACGAACCCACAGTGGCTTTCATTAGGAGCAATAAAGGCCCAAAAACTGATCAAAATATTTGCAGAAATTGACAAAACAAGCGTGTGCACCTAGGTCCGGGTGCAAAGGCTGCTTGATACAACTCGCCATCTCACTATATGTTGTTGGTATCCCAATAGATGCGATGCTATTTTCACCCAAAGGTGGAAACTCCTCAGGCAAATTTACAGATCAGGCGAGAGCTCCCTACTCACTGACCATCGACCTACCAGTCTATCGGCCTATCAGACTACCGACCTATACCAGAGAAGAAGCTCCCGCCTGACTATAGCTCTGTCGGTGCTTTCTGGTGCCTGTGTTTTGGTGGGGGTTCAGCAAAATCCCTTACCAGCCCATGAAGAACATATCGCGTGAAAGCGGAGGGGGGTTAACATTCAAGAAAACGCAGATGCTGGAGTATCATTGAAGAATTCTTTTTCAGTTCACCTTATAGATGAAGTTAAATGTATTTGTTCTCGCAGCCATCCGGCGGACGACTTCACCCACTGTCCACTTGAAGTTTTTGACACGAACGCTTACCACCAACTGCACCTAAATTATTTCCAATAGTGGTGAAGAAAGACGGTGTTCATTTTCGTTGTCCAAATTGCCGTTAAAAATATTTAGTAGCTTGAGAAGTTGCTCGGAACACCGATTCCTTCCCGAAATAACGCCATTTTCGTAAAGAGCTTATTTTTACGCGCATTTTGCTAGGCCGGTTAATCCCAAGCCAATAAGTTCGCGGTATTCAAACCAAAGAAAGCTTCTTAACCTGAAGGCCATGTGCAAAATACGTAATGGTTATTTTATTTCCGAAGTTTGTTTGTGCTTCGCACTCCAAACAAAAACCATTTTAAATGGCTTTCAATGTCTTGCATGGACAGCTCAATATAATGCAGTGGGCCACCGATGCCTAAGTTTTACTTATGCCATTCGGGAGAACTGCAGCCTGATGAACACTCACCAAAAAGTGATTAACAAAGACTGGGAGGATATTTTTGCCCTGAAATTTCGTTTATGGATCCACTAACTGTGTTCACACTGGAAGGTTTTACACCTCTGGATTTGGTTGTTACATTAGCTGATAGTACTGCTGTTCCGCCCGTTTCTTAATCGGTGCTCCTATCCAGTTAGTAACACTGTGAAGCCAACCAGTTCACTTCTAGTGCAAAAGCAAGAGTCAAAGACATCTGGATTTCTCGGAAAACAGGCTTTCAGGAACCAGCATGCTGTTGGGGCATAGACTATTGCTTACGTGTGCTTCAGATTCCAGGAAACACGGAACTGACCTTGAACCTATTGCACTTGGCAACATATGGTGGGTGTTTTGAAGTGGACTCCCAAGGATAAATACGAAATTTGATTCCTTAAAAAGTTCTCCGGTGCAAAAAGACATGGAAACTGCGCTGGAAGACAAAATGAAGTTTTGTGTAATAAGATCCAGTGAAGGACATACGCTGTAATTCTCCTTTTCCCATTTCCTGACATGTTTTACAGATATGACACTTTGAAGACAATGTTGAAAGCTGTGTTTTTGATGCCGAAGTATGAAACTTATGATAGCTTCGAAAAAATTAACGAATGTATCAAAAAGCCTGACGATAATGACAGCATTTCTCCTGAACAGGAGTCCGTTAACTTGGCCAAAGTTAAAGAAAAACTGTTTGTAGTAAGGTCACCTATCATCCTAATTACAAGTGACAGAAAGCTGAAGATGAAGACACGGAGCCTGTTATTGAAGAGGGCTTTGAACATCCGCTTCCAAACTTCATGGAAGTCATGTACCACTTCGGAAAAGCAGGGGTTGGACTATGTAGCTATGAGATCACTTGCCTCTACCTGGGACTAAAGATGCTTGTTAATTCTCATCCTCTCAAATCCGCTCGCTTCTGGGGAAAAGTCTTTGGGCTAGCAAAAAATTATTATATCGTGGAGACTGAGTTCATTGAGGGTGAGGATGAGGAAGGGGAAGAGGAGGCTGAGCAGATCAAAGAAACACCCCGTAATGAACTAACCAACTTGATAGATGAGGCAGGTATGAGTCCGTAACTTATGCAGAATCGGAATTTCGGTTTAAATGTATGATGCACAATCATGTGTACGTAGTATCACTGTGCCCTATTTTCACGGTGATTGATATACTTCCAAAACCTTTCCTATGTCATATACAAGATAGCACCTGTGGAAGAATTTGGTTATAGCAGACCTAGACAAAAGTGTTCATAAAAACATGCAAGTTGGGTCATATTTAAATCAGCCGACTTAATGACACGAAAAATACAAACAAATAAAGGCAAAGATGAACAAAGATTATATATATATATATATA